TAACTTCTTTTAAACCCCTTATGAAACTTTCAGTAACTTCAGTGGATTTTTTAAGAGTTTTTTTAACATTTTTTAAATTTCAATTTCACCTCTGGCGAATTTTACTGAAATATACCTAACTAAAAAAAGTTTCCAAAAAAGTTTATTTCAACAGTTTCTTAAAAATCTGTCTCCTTTAAAACGTTGTTTTAAACGTTCCTTATTAATCGGACATTTTTGGTGAAAATAAGTCGGGTGCACCATCGCGATGGATAATATCATTGAAAAAGGCGTAAAAGGACAATTTCTGCTGATGCGGCATCTGCAAGTCTGAACAGTTGGTAGTTGACGCCGGAAAATACACGCTCCTCGAGCTTACCGTACGCTGGGGACCGCTTTCTAATTTCAAACTTCATTACTGAAAAAAGGAGCGTTTATTCACGCGTTCGCAAGTCGCAACTCCTTGTCCTTGTTGCCGATATCAGTAAGGGAGCCAGCCTTTTTACACGTTTTCCTCGGTCGAATAATGGTTTCCTCACTGAATTGTGACAACACTGCACCTTACCGCCCCGTGTAATAGTGCAGCACTGCGAAGCGGTGTCTCATCATCCCCTCTTTCACTCCAACTTCGCCTACTAACGTGATATTACTGCTTCATTGGAACTATGTGTGCCAGATTTAGCGTCGCGCTGTGAGCTTTTGAGATTAGATTATTTATTTTAAAAAATAATACGAAAACGGTAAACCTGTCGTGTTCTGATGATCTATTTGTTAAATTTTGTATGTTTTATCAAGGTCTCCTATGCCTTCCCGACTCTCAACATAGTCCTATTGACTTCACCAAAGAAAATGAGTTTTTAAGGAACAAGTGCACTTTGCAGGAAGGAACCACTATTTCTGGCTTATCCACGAAAGTGCCCAACTTCATACAGGCATATCGATCGCGAAACGTGAACAATGCGTAACATAGACTGTGACGTTGTGAGTCACCGCTCAAGTCTCACTTTTTTTTGTTTTCTAGAACAAATGAACAGTTCCTTTAAAAATTTTCTATATGACTTTTCTTCATTTAGTAAACAAAAAAACCTCAAACTCCAAATTTGGGAAGGGACAATTTGGATTAGTTTGCTTTAAGGAACTTAAAACATAAGCAAAGATTATTAAACGTTGTATTTAGGATGCGCATTTTTTAACTCTCATAAATCTGAGATGTATTCTGCGTGCTAAGGAAGAGAGCCGTATTAGCCTTTAGATTTTGCCAAATTCCCTCTGACAAATCACAAATTTTCAGGAAAATGTATAACTATTTTTCTTCCGAATTTTTAGAGCATTTTTTTCGGCATTTGGTTAAAAAATCGGGTAATTTAAAGATTACATATGCATAACTTTATTAAAAAATGATATTTTCTTCAGATGTTGCCAAATTCCCCCCAAAAATCAAAAATTTTCGAGGAAATGTATAACTATTATTCTTCCGATTTTTTGAAGAGTTTTTTTCGGCATTTCGAAAATCACATCTGACAATTCAAAGAAAACATATGCATAACTTTCTTCAAAAATGATATTTTCTAAAGGTAAATCTGGCAACATTTGAATACTCATACAGAATGCTTCCTAAGTATAGCACTATTTACCCTCACATCGAACTTTCTCTCAAAATCCACGAGCACGTCTTCACGGCAACAAGGGGCAAGCTCGTTGTTCCGTCGAATGTGGTCTTTGACCCTCCACCGCTCCTCAATCCTCATCTTCATCTTGTCTCCCTCCCCTTCCCTTCCACCCCGTCGACCCTCATTTCCCTGATTTTTCATCTCTTGGACGTTTTTTTACCACTTTATTTTCCTTTCGTCTAATTTTTTTTCAGCCCCCCCCCCTCCCGCGGGGCTTCGGATCGTCTTTTTACGTCGTCGAGTCGAGTGAAAGTCCGACGTTCCGAAGTTTCCACCTCAGACTCCTTACTCCCCTCGTAAAATTATTATTTCACGATGACTCATTGTTGCCAGATAGTGCTGGAAAACCACCACATTTCCTAATTTAAACCCATTTAAAACTATCTATATCTCATCGTACAATCTGGCAATCTCGCGATGGCTCCAGGGCGGGAGGGGACGCTCGTGAAATAAAACAAGCAATCTGGTGGGCACTTAAGAGAATCTGAAATTCCGAGAGGTGACCAAATGAAGCCGTTATGCTTGAGATAAAACTTGGACCGCGTTGTAACATCTCACTTTTTATGGTGCACCATGAGGGGCAGGAATTCAAGGTTTCCCTATTCCGGGACAATTTTTCAACTTTTGTACAGTCTGTGACTTTCTCTCCGGGGCGCAACTTTTTGCCCGTTTTTCCACGGAAGTTCGGACTATTTACAGATGTTTTCTCCAGAATTCTCACATTCCATCACGGAATTATCTCGGAAACTCTGATAAATATCAGAATTTTCCTGGAATTTTCTGCCAACTACGCCCGCTACTTTAAGGAGAATTGTGGAAATCGTCTGAATTCAACTTAAATCAAGACCAAGTTGTTAACTTTTTTCCAACTTTAAACTATTAACAAACTTATACTGCCGTGCTAAAGGAAGAACGCCGTATGAGCCTTCAGACGTTGTCAAATTTCCTCCGACAAAATATTTATCTTTGGGAAAAAGTCTGCATATTTTGCCTTGAAATTTTCAGATGTTTTTGATGAAATTTTGAACAACATTGTTTGGAAAATTGGAGGCTATATATTCAGAATTTTCACAGTGAATTTGTTTTTATTTAAGGAAATTTGGAAACGTCTGAAGGCTCATACGGCGTTCTTCCTTAGCACAGCAGCATAGTCATCGTGCCCTAAATTTGCCAGAGAAGTATATCGTGATACCTTAAAGCTGATGCACATTCCGGTCGTTGCGGAAGTCAACACTTAAACTACGTTCAAAAAAATCTTGCATCGGCGTCACTGTTGAACGAAATTAACGGTGCCATTTGTTCAATTCTTCATAACTCGATATTGTCAGCAATATCTTTTTTGATTTCCCATCTAGATTTTTCTGTAATGCTAATGAAAGGGTAGCAGGATGCATCTATGTGAGGGAAATAAATGACAATTTAGGAGTGTGTGAACTTATTTGTTGTGGGCTCTAAAAGTAAATGTTACTACCTTTCTCGCTTATAAAAAAAATACAAAAAAGGGGGAAATGAAAAAAAATGACGCTTTACTGAGTAAATCAAATTTTCTCTCCGCATGAATTTCCGTCGTATTGCGGCTCACCTTGATGGTGTTAATTTCCATGCTAAAAAGAAAATAGCGGGACATGGGGACGACAGTGGGAGTTTCGTGTACACAGAGTTCCTCTGGCGCGCGACAAAAATGCAACGTACGTCAGCTTATTTAGATACAAGCGGGATGCACAGAAATTCGATTAAAGTATGTAAATTACTCCGGGAGATGGCGACACTTGACAGATGGGGTTTTAACACCTCGATGCATCGAATGAATGCTCAAACGCGTATGGCGTCGGGTCTCAAGTTCATGGTCATTGCTTCAAGCCGCGGACAGCTGTCTGCTGTCGGCGAACCTCCAAAGTGTGCTAAAAATCGGCGCATTTCTTCGTCCACCAAGCGCGAAAATCGTGATTTCCATCGCATATGTGGCAACCTTGGTTGACGAAGAATGAATGAAGGGTGAGCGGGGATCTAGGGTGCGGTATAAATGACGCAATCATATGCGGCGTTGTCTGATTTTGCGAAAGCTTTCAACTTTGATGGGTGAACTTTTAAGTTGATCGCGACATTAGGCATGGTAAGGTTGACTGCGGGGAAGATATATGATAAACAAACCGATGCACTTTGAAAATAAGGAAAACTTCTAAAATAATACGGAAGGGGGAGGGGACGAAGATGTCAGATTTCCCACTGCACCGAGGAAATCTGTGGTAAATAAGGAAAACCACTGATTTTACGTGAGAGTAAACACTGTCAAAAATGCTATGTGATTATAAAATATGAGCATAGATTGGGAGTTGATCCCATTCCTTGACATTAACAAATATGTATCATACGACACATTTTGGGTAGGCGGTGAAATTTTACGAATAATCTTAATTTCCTCACAGTGCGGTTTTTTGTGAGTAAGAGATTACGATTTTTCAAAAATGATGTTATTGCAACAAATGAAATGTATTGCTATATTACAGTACTTCTGTTTGCTTTTTGACTTCGAATCAAGACAATTCGTCAACTTTTCAGGAATTCATATTTTACCAAATATGAGCTTATTTTCATAAGATCAGTCTCAATGCTTCACTTGATTCATTTATTTGTATTTGTCGTATGCTTCTCAGTTTTTTTTTCCAATACTCGTATAAACTGACACGTGATAACGTTTAAATTTATAATGACATAGACTTTTTTAGATGAAAAACTATCGATTGAGGTCTTTAGTAGGTTCTTACCGTCACTGAAGGGTCCGGACTAAGTAAAAAAGTTCCTATAGATGTTATGTCTCTGTCGGGTGTAAAGTTTAGCCTAACATTAATCGCAGTTCTCCGAAAATGACTTTCATTTGTACACATTGCGTAGGTTCTGGTTTTCACCCAGACTTGTTAGTAATGGCAAAAAAGATCTCTCAATCTGTCATCGTAAAGTCTTCACTGTAAATCAGAATTTTCTTAGACTCGTTATAAAGTTAACTTTTAAACTTGAGATAACATCTTTGGAAAGGTGTTCCTGTCGTTAGCAGTATGAAGTAAACTCGCAAGTTGACTCAGCAAAAAAGGAGGTAGCCGGGGGAAGAAGCATATTTGTATTTCAAAATCTCCGAATGTGCATCAAGTCTTGAAATTGCCCAATATAAGACGTATAATACGTTTATCAGGTATAACTGAATCGGTCAGTATTAAACCGACTCGGCTCCAAAGGAGCGATGTAAGAAATTGTAATAAGCAGAAACACAACTGATCTGACACATGGGTTATACGCCACGGTTACCAAATTAATTATTCTCACATCTAATTTAAATTTCGTTTCTTTATGTTCCAGAATATGTGCTCTTTTTGAAGACAAGTCCTTTTTAAAATTGCCGAGATGCCGTAAAGACATGTTTTTTACAAAACTAAAACGGCTCATGATCCGGGAACCGTGCTCTAAAGTGATATCACAAGGAAATTCTGGTGAGTCAATGATTAAGCAAATCTTAACATGTGCGAACTTTGTGGAGTAGGGCAACAGCCAAATTCTTCAGTTTCATTACTGAATTATTGAAGCAATTAGTGCATTTATGAGCCTGTTCTCAAATTATAAACCTTAATGACCGTTCTGCAATATGAAACACGTATCAATAGGTTATGCAACAGAATCTAACATTTAAAACAGGTCAGCATTATTTTGGGAACATGTGTTTCTTGTCACTGAAATAGAAATTCTGATAAAATCTTTTCTGGTCGGGTTTAAAAATTTTGACACGCCTTGAAAAACGTTGGAAGCTGTTGCTGAGAGCTACTGTTTTCCCAGGAAAAATGGACCACAGTGACTAGTAAAGTAAAACCAGTAAAAAGAGGAGTTATTTAAGAAATTAGATTGAGTCTGAAAAAAAAAAATTGCCTCTTTGAAGGTTGCTAAGATTGTGCGATTACATGTGCGATTATATTTTTAATCGCCTGAAACCGCCTAAGTAGGTTTTTGCGACAAGGATGAAAATATTTTTATCAATTAATTTAAAATATGTCATTGCATTTTTTGAGAAATATGTGCCATTAATTTCGTGATTTACAAAATAACGCTGCGCGTAAGCCCATCCGCGAATGTTCTTAGCAATTATTTAACTGGATAATACCGTTAAAAGAACCTCGTTAATATCGGAAGAGTATGCCTCGCATTGAAGGCGCATCAAAAGCCGCATAAAACTGTCAAAAGATTTGAATGAATATTGAAAATTTTATAAGATGAATATTTTAAAGAGAGGAAGTTGATAGAATTCCTCAACCCCGTAGTATTCTATAAATTGCAGACTAGAATAGAGCGAGAAATCTCCCTCTTTTAGACCTTTCGTTTTGAAAATCCCCGCGCAACTTGAGTAAGTGTCCAACGTAGATACGTGGTATCTTTCTATCATGGTGCGCTCTAAGACAGTGACGAGGCGTGAATGATCGACTATCGACATTGTCCTATCTGAAGCTATGGTAAAGAATCGATCATTAAGGTGTTCGTTGCGAACAATCTGTATATCGACCTTTTTCCGTAAGTTTAAATGGTAGATAAATCGATACATCGCAAAGCACGCCACACTACTCTAAGATCTGGACGTAAGAACTTCTTGAACCCTCGCTGATTGACCGCGTGGGGTAAGAATGGAAGAAGGGGATGGTGAATGACACTGAGTTAATCAACTTTCACCTTCTACGCTCCAATTTTGCTCACTATACGCGCGCCTGTCGGCCGAGTTTCCAGAATTTTCACCGCTCTCTATATCAACAACATTTATTGGGCACCATTAGGGTCGATATTAAATTTTAAGATTCCGGGGTGCCCCATCAAAATTTTTTCTGCTGGTCTGAGCGGTAAATTATTAATAGAAGGCATACTTAATAGAGTATCGCTCTCTTCTTTTTTTATGAGGACCTCGCTGTTCGGCAAAAAAGATTTGTTACTCACTGTATTAATTGGATTAAATTTTGCACTGAGGAACCACTATTTCTAGCCCATAATACATGCCATTGGTTTCCCTACGCAGTTATGTGCTTTTATGGGAGAACCAGAGATAGTGGTTCCTTCTTACAAAATGTAATCCAATTGTTTGAATGTAAACCCTTGAAATTCGTTTCTTTCTTTGACTTTTTCTATATTCCTCAATCGTTTCTTATTTTGCGTTTTTCACTTAATATCTTCAGTTTTGTTTATTTCGTTTAATGTTCAATTGACTTAACAATTTCTATAAATATTTTTCTTAATACATTAAAAAATGGAAATCCTCTTTTTACAATCAGCCTAATAATATATCTCCTTGTCAATATTCTGGAACATAAGGGAACGAAATTTAAACTAGATGAGAGAATGATTAATTTGGTAACTGTTGCGTATAACCCCTGTGTCAAATCAGTTGTTTTTCTGCTTACTACAATTTCTTACATAGCTCCTTCGGAGTTGAGTCGTTTGAATACTAATTTATTGGGGTACTCTCACAATTAATTGGAAATATCCATATCATCCAACAATCCCTACCTCTTTTTCTCGTAACAGCAGTGTGTAAGATACACTCAAGGTAGTTTAAAAGGAAAAAAATAAAAAAATGTCAAGCGTTACCTAAAGGAGGGTTGACGGATGTCGGTTTCCTCACAAAGAATTACCGCAGTAGACGTTCATATTTTCTGCCTTGAAATTCTCCAAAAATGTCTCTCAAGTTAGCCCGCGGTATTAACCGGAATTCAGGGAATTTACCGTGCTCCTGAGAGAATATCTCTTCGGCTCTTATACAGCGCAGGGAGAAGAGATAAATCCCCTAGGACCTACCTTGAAGATTAATTTTGAATTATTTGATGTCTGAAAGAGGCCAATTCTAAGTCCAGCGTGCGGCGCAATGATGTCCTCACGCTTCAGTGCTTCTCAGGCAGAGTTTGGAAAGGGGGAGGGGGGCTCAGGTTGAGGGGTTGGTGAGATTCCGGCCGCAGGGTCAGTGTTTATGGGTAAATATTGACAGTTGCGTCTCTGCTTCTTTTGACGACTACTTTTACCAACGCTGCCATGTTTGCACGGAAAAAAAATTGCTGATTCAGCAATTCAATTGATAAAAACAGTGAGCGCAATGTTTCAACGCAGATTTTACAACAAAAAAATGCTACTTTAACCACCCCCGTGGTTAAAATAGTTTACAGTGTGGTTAAAGTATAGCATTTTTTTGTTGTAAAGTCTGCGTTGAAACATTGCATTCACTGCTTTTAGCAATTAAATTGTTGAATCAGCAATTTTTTTTTTCCCGTGTGAGTTTAATTCTTCACCTGAACCTCACGTATGGCCAAATAGATATCTAAAAAATATTATGCATCAGCCCATATAGACTGATGATTTAGTGGTTACGTCATTCCATACAATATGGAACCCTTGGTTCAAATGTAAACCAACACAGGACCCTGTTTCTGATTCGCGCCCTTTGCTCCATGGTGGTAAAGTGCGTCCAAGTGTTTCTTACAATCGAAAGCTCTCGTGTTTAATGAGTCTTCAATTGATTTATGACCGGTCAATGACTCAATTTTAATGAATTAATACAGTTAAATCATGAATAATTCGTACATGAAGTTATGTTAGTTTGTTTTGGCTCAAACCAAGAGTTAGATATTATGTCGAATAACGATGTCACTAAATCAGTCAATTGCACACAATAAAACTAAGCAGAAACGGCGTTTCATGATTGGTCGAATGCAGCTCTAATATAGTTACTCTGTACGAAAAAGTTCAATATAATTAACCATAATTTCAACTATATTCTCGGATGATTTTTGCGTAAGTCGGAGGTGTGGTTGCAAGAGCTGGAGATATGGTTGCAAGCCATAAGCGTGGTTGAATCAACCATACCTCCGGTGACTTCAGGCTTGCGCTAAAATCATCCAGAGATATAGTTGAAATTATTGCTCTTTTTCCATGCGGATCACCTGTTTGAGTACAAGACACTACGCTGTCTTGGTTACAAGCGGAGCGGTGTGTGCGCGTGTGCCCAGTGCCCCGGATGAAAAGCCAGCGCGCCTTCAATTTTTTGAATATGCAACACGTACATCCTATAAGCACGAATAGTTGTATCCAACAGTTTTGTCACCTTCTACATCAGTTTCTGTTGACGTGCTGATTGAACATATCCTGTTTTATGTTCTCTAGACCTCGAATATTAATGCTAAAGGATTTATACGATTTTAAAGTTGATTATAGATGTTGTAGCTAATACCTAAAATGAAACTGCACGCGCACGAGTACAGTCAGAGCATTATAGCTTTTCTACTTTTGTCCGCAATCACACAAGTTCCGATAATATATGAATCTCACCTATGAAAAAGTCGATAATATGTATAACTCCATTAATATGGCACTGTTTAAAAATAAGCACTCGAATTGAATCGGATTTTTGTACCATTACAATATTTTCATATCACTGAAACAAACTGTTACTACATTATTCGTTGACAATTTGTGAATGTTTTTCCTCCAATTTTTCTGAGTATTTTATTCAAAATTTAATACAAAATACCTGCAAACTTCAAGGTAGTTTTGTATTCCTCAAAAATAAATATTTTGTTAGGGGAGATTTGGCAACCCTCAGATATTCATACGGTGTTTTTCCTAAGCACGACGGAGTTAAATCTCTGTTTCAAGCTCCTATTTTCAGCTTGTGTGCTCAGTCTCACTAGTCTGTGTCACTTTATCAAAGCTAGCCATCAAAATATCAAGGTCAAGTTCTGTGATTGGTCCAAGTCATCAAATGGCGAGGCAATCAAAAAACCCGCCCTTGATATTTTGATGGCTAGTTTTGACTAGAGTACCTGTATAGGGAGAGTACCGACAGATCTGAAACTCCGAAAGTCCATCAGGCCTTCACCGATGCCTCCACGAATGAGGTTAGGGCCCAAAAGGGCAGCCAACCTATGAATTTCAATTATCCAGAGCGATTTACTGATACTATTGTTACGAACCGTCCTTTATTAAGCACGTGTTTGATTCAGTTTTTGCATAAATTTACTCAATTTCGCGGAAGAACGCTCATTTCTGTACATTCTTGGCCATCTTGGTTAGAATTGGAATCTGCAGACTGGCAGTGAAATTTTGTGCGTTAGAAGTTGGTTAGAAGGGTGGCTGTACTTTTGGGCCCTAAGCCCTCCATGAAGCGATCTGTCCATACTCTCGGTATATAGGTACTCTAGTCCAAGTCATCAAATAAGCCAATCAAAAAACCCGCCCTTGATATTTTGATGGCTAGTTTTGACAGTGTGACACCGACGATTGGAGAAATCCGGCACCATGAGACGGTGTCTAACCCTGCTCAGAATTGAATCGATTCCAGACGTGTCTCGCGGGTTGTGGCCCAAACATACCTCGTCTCCAAGTTGAGGTGGGTAATAACCGACAATGCCAAACCGCAAACACCCCAGTGTTCACGGCAGTCACCTCGTCAGCACCCGGACATTCCTTCCGG